GTCCGTGTGCTCACCTGTCCGTGTGCTCACCTGTCCGTCTGCTCACCTGTCTGTCTACTCACCTGTCCGTGTGCTCACCTGTCTGTCTGCTCACCTGTCTGTCTACTCACCTGTCCGTCTGCTCACCTGTCCGTCTGCTCACCTGTCTGTGTACTCACCTGTCTGTGTGCTCACCTGTCTGTCTACTCACCTGTCTGTGTACTCACCTGTCCGTCTGCTCACCTGTCTGTCTGCTCACCTGTCTGTCTACTCACCTGTCCGTCTGCTCACCTGTCCGTCTGCTCACCTGTCTGTGTACTCACCTGTCTGTCTACTCACCTGTCTGTGTACTCACCTGTCCGTCTGCTCACCTGTCTGTCTGCTCACCTGTCTGTCTACTCACCTGTCTGTGTGCTCACCTGTCCGTCTGCTCACCTGTCTGTCTACTCACCTGTCTGTCTACTCACTTGTCTGTGTGCTCACCTGTCTGTCTGCTCACCTGTCTGTCTACTCACCTGTCTGTGTGCTCATCTGTCTACTCACCTGTCCGTCTGCTCACCTGTCTGTGTGCTCATCTGTCTACTCACCTGTCTGTCTGCTCACCTGTCTGTCTGCTCACCTGTCTGTCTGCTCACCTGTCTGTCTACTCACCTGTCTGTCTACTCACCTGTCTGTCTACTCACCTGTTTGTCTACTCACCTGTCCGTGTGCTCACCTGTCTGTCTACTCACCTGTCTGTGTGCTCACCTGTCCGTATGCTCACCTATCTGTCTACTCACCTGTCCGTGTGCTCACCTGTCTGTCTACTCACCTGTCTGTGTGCTCACCTGTCTGTCTACTCACCTGTCCGTGTGCTCACCTGTCTGTCTACTCACCTGTCTGTGTGCTCACCTGTCTGTGTGCTCACCTGTCTGTCTACTCACCTGTTTGTGTGCTCACCTGTCTGTCTGCTCACCTGTCTGTCTGCTCACCTGTCTGTCTACTCACCTGTCTGTGTGCTCACCTGTCCGTGTGCTCACCTGTTTGTGTGCTCACCTGTCTGTCTACTCACCTGTCCGTGTGCTCACCTGTCCGTGTGCTCACCTGTCTGTCTGCTCACCTGTCTGTCTGCTCACCTTTCTGTCTGCTCACCTGTCTGTCTACTCACCTGTCCGTGTGCTCACCTGTCTGTGTGCTCACCTGTCTGTCTGCTCACCTGTCTGTCTGCTCACCTGTCTGTCTGCTCACCTGTCTGTCTACTCACCTGTCTACTCACCTGTCTGTGTGCTCACCTGTCTGTCTGCTCACCTGTCTGTCTACTCACCTGTCTGTCTACTCACCTATCTGTCCACTCACCTGTCTGTCTACTCACCTGTCTGTCTACTCACCTGTCTGTCTACTCACCTGTCTGTCTACTCACCTATCTGTCCACTCACCTGTCTGTCTACTCACCTGTCTGTCCACTCACCTGTCTGTCTACTCACCTGTCTGTCTACTCACCTATCTGTCCACTCACCTGTCTGTCTACTCACCTGTCTGTGTGCTCACCTGTCTGTCTGCTCACCTGTCTGTCTACTCACCTGTCTGTCTGCTCACCTGTCTGTCTACTCACCTGTCTGTCTACTCACCTATCTGTCCACTCACCTGTCTGTCTGCACCTACAGGCCTTCTTCCTGGTCTATGGCCTGGGGGTGTTGTCTGTGTACCTGCATCAGGTGAGTGTCTGTTGTTTGGTGCTTCTTCCTGTTTCCTGTCAGGATGTGACTTTGTTCCTGTTCTTCTCTGTGATTGGCCAGGAGCCCCTGTCAGTCATCCAGCTGTGGAGGAAGTTCCGCTCATTTCGTCCAGACTTCATCAGCTCCTATGCTGCCTATCATCACTTCCGCAGCATGGGGTGGGTCCCTAAAGGAGGGGGCGGAGCCAAGTATGGCGTTGATTTCAGTAAGACGCACAGCCTCATTCTTCTGTTTCACATAAAATACATTCAGTTTGTGTTACCTGTGTGTTTCTACCTGTGTGTTACCTGTGTGTTACCTGTGTGTTACTACCTGTGTGTTACCTGTGTGTTACTAACTGTGTGTTACTACCTGTGTTACTACCTGTGTGATACCTGTGTGTTACTAACTGTGTGTTACCCTTATGTTAACTGTCACTGTTTTCAGTGTTGTACAGGAGGGGACCACCTTTCTATCACTCCAGGTAAGTCAGACTCCTCCCACTGAGGTCATGTTTGAAGTAAAACAATCAGAAGCATCACAG